ATCCACCATCCCAACAGACGCAGCGGCCCCCAACAGGCCAACCCCAAATCAATGCGTTTTTCCCCAACAGTAGTACACCAGGAGGCCCATCCAGTCCTGCAGACCCTTTGATGTCCTATCGTCGCAAAGACGCCCAAGCCTTCTATGCAATCCAGGCACCTCAAACAGGAACTGAGGCAAAAGTCCGTGATTGGGTGAAGAAGAACGTTCCCAAGGAACGTCAGGGAGACTTGAACAAGTGTGTTGAAACTCTTCAAAACCATTTGAAACAATTCGATCAGGCGAATCAACCCAACCTGGAACCAATTTTAAGCGATTGGGGCCTCTCCTCTTCCTTTTTGTCGAAATGCAATGTTGATGCTCACATCAGATTGTTGGCAGCAGTTCAGCTGCTGCGAAACTGACAATTTGAATTTGCTACAGATCAAGTAAGCCCACCTACTAACGGTGGCTTGATAAAACCTTTTGACCAAGCACACACCCGAAAGGCACGACGTAAGATCGCACAATTTCGGGAGATTGCTCAATCCTTCATCTTTTTTGCTGCATGTCTTTCGCAATATACTCCACAACTGACTTGGCGACTTCAACGGATGTTGTTATGGTCTCTTAGTCAATGGACAGTTTTTGGAGTATGTTAGAATTCATGGACAAACAAGCGACGACGACTGATGACTATCCTTCAACATGCACGACTTCCGTTTAAATTCTCATGGACATGGTGGACACAAACATCAGTTATTTACATGCGTTTGGATCTCTGGGATGCTGATTTTTACATTGGAGCCACAGAACATTCTGTTTTTGACCGAGAACAAAGCCGTATGCGGAAATTTCGTCAACTTGGTAACCAACAACTTGCGTATTTCGAGCCTGCCCTAAAAGTTTGGTTCCACCTGAACAATTTCTACAGGTTTGGCTGTCTTCCTTTACAACAGCAAAACCTTGACAAATTGTATGCCATGGAAACGGCATTTCAGACGACGTACCGGCCTAAATACAATTGGCCATGGATCAAGCCTTTCTTACAGAAGTTCCATATTGGGAAGCAGCGGTTCGGGCCCTCAGTCTCCAAACCCTTTCTTGAAAAGACTCGAAAGTTTTGTCGTCGATATTTGAAGCGAACGGCTACAAATCAGCGGTGCGTTTTGGGCCTCAGATTTCATTCTGCGGATCGAATCTACACATTACTCACTCGTTTAGGCTCTGACACCATCGAAAAGTTTCATGTTTCCAAATTACTGCGTTCATCACAAACAGACATACAATATCTTTTTTGCTTTGGAGACTTTCCCATCAATTGGGAGAACCTGTTCGTACACGCTGTCAATCACAACTTCGTTTGATCCTCAGATTTAAGGGAACGGAATCTCCGCCACCAAATGTGCCTATGCGACTTCAAGTTCTATCTGACGACATGAACGATGCGATAAAACAGTGGCTTCTGAATTTCACTTTTCATCATTCCATCAATTTCCCTCCGTTTCACAAAGTACGCGCACCATTTGTGCGCATTAAGAATCGGACGTTGGGACAAACATTTTTCAATTTTCGAAAAGTGTTGAAACGGTGGACACCTGAACAGCAACCTTTGTGTACATGCCACCTCTTTCCTTTGCATATTCGACAACGTGAACGAAAAACCGAACATATTTCTGTTTTTGCACAAGAATGCTTTCCTGATGAAGCATTTCTCCATCAACATATGGCTGAAGAGATTTCACCATCATGGAGACACTTCTTTCACCATAACACGTATCAATTTGAACAGTGGCTGCATCGATGGAAGCTATCACATTCATTGATCCAATATTGGCAAGCTTTCATCCTGACACAGTGGAAGATCTATAAACAGAATTCTCTCGGACAGACCCAGAAAAAGATTCAGCGACTTCAACATCGCTTACGTTCTTTTGTAGTTTCGCCCTCAGATCATTTTCCGCATTCTTTGACATTACACTGTCCTGCTCAGTGGCAATATTTGATGAACCGAACGTTCCTGGATACTTCGGTATTTCTTCGCTGCCAAGCGTATCCTATTCCGTTATTGAAGCACATTCAACAAAATATCCCTGACTGGATTATGCAACACTACAAATGGGGCTTCAAATTTGGATCCACTCTTAGCACCGCATACATTCTCCCAAAACCATCCAGGTTATTTCAAAAAAGCAAGACCAATTGTTGGATTATTCTCGAGCATGGTGTCGACCAATTGGAAGTGCACTAGCAACAGCGTTATATGAAATTTTGCAAGTTGTATATTCTGATCTCCTATCTGTTACGGATATCAAGTCGGTGCTACATGCAATTGCCAAGTTGTTTTCCCACCAAGACTACGTTTATGGTGAACTCACTGTGGAACAAGAAGACATTGCTAAGTTTTACAATCAAGTTGATCATTCTCGTATGTTACAGGCTGTTCAATTTGCTGTGTGTCGGTTTTGTGAACTTCAACGACAAACATTTGACTCTTTTCTCAACATTCATCAAGAGACTACGGAACGCACTTTACGAATTTTTCGTGGGTTTTGGCGGTCACATAGCCACAAATACCGACCAATTTGTCTTGCCCATATACAACCGCTCAGCCAATACCTTTTGAATCATAGTTATTTCAGTATTGGAGGCACAGTATTCCAACAGCGTCGTGGTGCAAGTATGAGTTCCCAATGGGCACCCATTTTCTGTTCAGCAGTTGCATTACTCAGAGAATGGATTTTTCATTCCTATTTTCAGGTCTTTCGCACAAACATGAATTTTCATCATCGGTATGTCGACAACCGCTTGATTCTAGCAACAGACATCGATCGCGCCAGTCTGGACTTTGATCTATTTTGGAGACTGGATTTCTATACAAATCCCATCCTTTTGGAACCAGTACCTGGTGATGAAGCCCTGGGATACAAAATTGATTGCCTACAACATACCATTACTTTGCAGTTACCATGGAACAAACCCTTGAGACACAGCTCTGGCTGTGGTGTCTCACGTACCGCCCTCAGTGGTCTTATTGCTCGTATTCGACTCATTCTCACGGGCGTGTATCCACAACATCTTCATCTACCTCAAATTCAAGATCTCATTGGACTGATATCATCTCGAGACTCTGCTCTTGTGACCACAGATTCCGCACGCAAGACCATCATGACTGTTATCCACCAAGTCCATCCACATTTACAAGCGCGTGATGTTTTCAGATTCGCTTAACAAAAAGGAGTGAACAGCTTACTCAATCATTCTTAACTTGTCGCGCTCTGTTGTTTTTTGCCAAATAGAGATACGCATGAGAATGTGATTTGTGTGTAGTAACTTATTCATGGCTGCATCAGTTCAAACCTTTCAATGTTGGGTTCAAGTCTGTCGCCATTTACAGACCATCGGATTTACCTCTACTCTACACTGGTTCTACTAACATGAATTGATCTCTTTTGCCCTTGTCCACAACAGCTGTCACAATTTCTCCATGTTAGACGTCGATTGTATAGTGCTCTGAGTGGTGTCGGGACCTCAGTTACCCCCAATCATGCTTTAGGTTTCAGAGTTCTAAATGCCTCAAGATTTTTGACACAGAAGATTTTTCGACAAAAAAAAAAATATTCGACATAATCACCTGACCAGAGTTATCAGCCCGGACCTCGGACGCTTTCTTTCACTGAATTGAATCCACCACGATCAATGGTCGGCGGCCTAGTCTTATGGAATACCGAAATCCAGACAGCGTTTTCACTCCTCTGTTAGTGTCTCGTAACATTTCAGGACAGCGATTCTGTTATTTGAGTGACAATGTGCGTCTGTCATTTTAACTAATTAATTTCTTTATAAGAGTATTCGACATAACAACCTGACGAGAGTTATCAGCCCGGACCTCACATGCTTTCGCTCACTGAACTGAATTCACCACAAACAATGGTTGGCGGCTTAGTCTCATGAAGTACCGCATTTCACACAGAGTTTTCGCTCCTCCATTAGTGTTTTGTGAAGTTTCAGGACTGCCATTCTGTCACTTGAGCGACAGTGTGAGCTTGCCATTTCAACTACTCATGTAATTTCGTCATCGCCCTACGGGGCTTGTGTGTGTGTGAAACCCGTTATAACATACGGATATTTTACAATTTCGTACAACGAAGCAAGGAAGACAATATGTGGCGACAATAAGAACTGAATTTTAATTCAGACATGCAGGGGGCTGGAGTGTGAATCAGAAGTCTCCAGCCAACGAAGACGCTTCTGATGTCACAGTGATATCAACCTCGGACGCTGGGTTGACGTACCTGCAATGTTGGTTCGAACTTTTGCACAAGCTGTTCTATTACCTTGTTTTTGAGTCCTTTGGCAAGAATCGATTGCCCGAATTTCACCGTTTGCAACCGTGCCCCATCGAAGGTGACTTAGGAAATCAGGCGACGGCAAGTTCTACTCTCAACATCATCAAATCAACCTAAGCAGTGTAGAAGGTGTCTCTGTGTAAAGGCGCCGGCGTTTGTGTGTAAAAGCGTTTCTGCGTAAGAGCGTCTGTGTGTAAAAGCGTCTCTGTTACATCTTCACATCTTACATCTTCTCTACCTTTTCTTTCCGCCCCCACTCTCTTCCTACTACCCAGTCTCCTTCATTCAGCCTTGGTCTTGCAGCCCTTTTTATCTTCTCGCTGTCGTTCTGTATCAGTAGATGTTTTAATGCCTCTCTTCAGCTTTCATCTTAGCATCGCTATATCCCGCTACCAGTGTCTTTTCTTCTACTCACACCACATACTTCTTACATACTCATTACATTGTTTTTACTTACACCTGAGTAACTTGCTCCTTTACGGTCTCGGGCCATCCGTTGTCTAGTTCTCAGTAAACTAACATACTGTTAATGGAAGAAGACTGCACCAACCATTGGTTTTAGCCAAAGATACTGACTGGTGTTTCGTGGGTGAGTGGGCGTTCCATTTTTTTAAAGGTTGCTGGAGGGTAGATGTCGACTTGTCCTTGGGCATTTCACTGGCTGCACGCGAGGATATTGGTGGCGTGAGGGCCGCTTGATGGTATGGCAGAAGATGCCGTTGCTTGTGATTTGTCGGCAGCGCACTGGGAGCTGCAAATTGGGGCCCTGCCCGGCCTTGTGCCATGATGCGGGTCAAATTGTATACAGGTGGGGATCACTATTATGTATAGTTGTGTTCATATAGAAATATAGAGACAGAGAGAGAGTGGTAAAGTTGTAAAGATATAAATATTTTTTGGGATCTTATGGGATGGTTTATATCTCTATTTACTGTATATATATATATATAGATATGTACACACCTCAACCAAGCATATGTTTATATCTATATATACTTGGTTATGTTTGTATCGTTACTACATTGTCACCATGACAGAGGCGCCCTTGGTGTGGCAATCCCTAGCCATATATATTTGAAAACATGAGACATATTTCAATAGATCGGATAGTTTAGAATATACGTATGGCATTAAGTATGTATATCTCTCAAGAAATACGGGCTCAGAGTCATCCTAGCAACTTGATCATCACCATAATCATCATTATCAATATTTATCATAATACTGTATATACTATATACTGTTTATTTATATATATATGTATATTATACACAAAATATAATGATACATTATATTGGTTCGTGTTATATTGGTGATAGTACTAAAAACAAATATACATATATATATATACCGTGACATACCAGTAGTACCCGCACGAGGCGGGGTGGAAGTTGCCTATAGGGTTATATTATAAGACCTTTCTCATCTATAGAACTTGCATGCGCCCTGCGCCAGCCAGGCCCGTGCGTGCGTGCTTTGTGCGAATCTGTTGCGCTGTTGTTGTCCAATAATATGACCTGCGCGCGAGCGACCCCGGCGCAATGCAGCGCCAAGTGAGCACTTTCTTCACACTTCACACTGCGCTCTTCACACCCCGCGCTTCACACTTCGCACTTCACACTCCACACTTCATCTCGTCTCAAACTGTGAGAGCTCTTCTCACCTCATCTCAGCTCTTCTCATCTCATCCCATCCCTTCTCACATGTCATCTAAGTAAGCTCTTCTCCCAGATGCATTTACTCAGAAAAGCCTTTACAAAATACTTTGTATTACAAAGCTTGCACAAAGCACTTCCCCCAGTACTACTTTGTACTTCAAAACTTGCACAAAGCACTCCCCAATATTGCTTTGTACTACAAAGCTTGCGCAAAGCACTTCCCAGTACTACTTTGTACTTCAAAACTTGCATAAAGCACTCCCCAATATTGCTTTGTACTACAAAGCTTGCGCAAAGCACTTCCCAGTACTACTTTGTACTATAAAGCTTGCACAACACACTTGCCAGTAGCACTTGGTACTACAAAGCTTGCACAAAGCACATTCCAGTACTACTTTCTACTGCAAATCTTGCACAAGACACTTCCCTGTACTAGTTTGTACTACGAAGCTTGCACAAAGCACTTCCCAGTACTACTTTGTAATACAAAGCTTGCACAAAGCACATTCCAGTACTACTGTCTACAAATCTTGCACAAGACACTTCCCTGTACTATTTTGTTCTACGAAGCTTGCAGGAAGTACTTCTCAGTACTACTTTGTACTACAAGACTTGCACAAAGCACTTCCCAGTACTTCGTTGTAATACAAAGCTTGCACAAAGCATGTCCCAGCCCTACTTAGTACTCAAAACTTGCACAAAGCACGTCCCAGTACTACTCAGTACTACAAAGCTTGCACAGAGCACGTCCCAGTACTACTGGCACTGTGTATTACAAAGCTCGCACCAGCGGTACTGCATATTACAAAGCTCCAACCAGTACTTCCCAATAATACTTTGTACTATTGCACAAAGCACGTCCCAATACTACTTTGTACTACAAAGCTTGCACAAAGCACTTCCCAGTACTACTTTTTAAAAGGAATTTTAAAAGGAAATCACCAGCGCCAAAATGAAGAACATGTGCTGACAAATCACTATCGCAGCCTTGATGCAGCCACTCCAATACGATTTGCAATGTCCAGCTGCAAAAGACATATATATATATATAGTATTACGCATGCAGCCGCGGCACCAAGCAACCTTGAGGCAGCCGTTACAATGCAGCATCGAGATATTGAATTGCCAAACACAATGGAACTACGCCCAACGGCGTGAGAAATTGCAGCTCCAAAACCGGCTCTCGGCACCAAAGGAAAAAAAGAAATTGAAGCACTTTTGAAAAGGAATTTTAAGAGGAAAATCACCAGCGCCAAAATAAAGAAAATCTGCTGACAAATCACTATCGCAGCCTTGATGCAGCCATTCGACTACGATTTGCAATGCCCAGCTCCAAAAGACAACAGTATTACGCATGCAGCCGCGGAACCAAGCAACCTTGACGCAGCTGCGCCGCACACACACAAGCAAGGTACCCTTCATCGCCGGCTGCAGCCACTTTCAACGGAAAAACACAAGGTTTCGTGCTCCGGCTTTCTCCCCAAGCCATTACAATGCGTTTTGGAGCGTCACGTGGCAAACCTGCATGTATCTACGCACATGGCAACACAAGATGACAACAATCATGCAGCCATTCCAATTCGATCTGCAAGCACAGATTCAAGAAACGAATGGAACTATGCACACATGAACAACCACACGTTGCAGAACACCAAGGGCGAACCGATTCTCAATGAAAGGATCGCAGCCGCAACCGCCGCACACACAAGGTACCCTTCATCGCCGCTTGCAGCCATTTCACGCGAAAAACATAAGGTTTCGTGCTCCGGCTTCCTCCCCAACACAAGCCTCATGCAACATTCATGCAGCCATTACAATGCGTTTTGCAGCATCACGTGGCAAACCTGCATGTACCTACGCACATGGCAACGCAAGATGACAACAATCATCCAGCCATTCCAATGCGATCTGCAACCACAAACTCAAGAAACGAATAGAACTACGCACACATGAACAACCACACGTTGCAGAACACCAAGGGCGAACCGATTCGACAATGAAAGGATCGCAGCCGCAACCGCCGCACACACAAGGTACCCTTCATCGCCGCCTGCAGCCACTTTACTCGAAAAAACGCAAGGCTTCGTGCTCCGGCTTCCTCCCCAACAGAAGCCCCATGCAACATTCATGCGGCCATTACAATGCGTTTTGCAGCATCACGCGTCAAACCTGCATGTATCTACGCACATGGCAACACAAGATGACAACAATCATGCGGCCATTCCAATGCGATCGGCAACCACAGATTCCAAGAAGCAAATAGAACTACATGAACAACCACACGTTGCAGAACACCAATGGGGAACTGATAAGACGAGGAAACGATCGCAGCCGCAACCGTCGCACACTCAAGGTACCTTTCATCGCCACCTGCAGCCACTTTACGCGAAAACGCAAGGTTTCGTGCTCCGGCTTCCTCCCCAACACAAGGCCCATGCAACAGCCATGCAGCCATTACAATGCGTTTTGCAGCGTCACGTGGCAAACCTGCATGTATCTACGCACATGGCAACACAAGATGACAACAATCATGCAGCCATTCCAATTCGATCTGCAAGCACAGATTCAAGAAACGGATGGAACTACGCCCACATGAACATTCACAGGTTGCAGAACACCAAGGGTGAACCGATTCGACAATGAAAGGATCGCAGCCGCAACCGCCGCACACACAAGGTACCCTTCATCGCCGCCTGCAGCCACTTTACGCGAAAAACACCAGGCTTCGTGCTCCGGCTTCCTCACCAACAGAAGCCCCATGCAACATTCATGCAGCCATTACAATGCGTTTTTCAAAATCACGCGCCGAACCCGCATGTATCTACGCACGTGGCAACACAAGATGAAAACAATATAAAACAATCATGCAGCCGTTCCAATGCGATCTGCAACCATGTGATGTAAAGTATAATGTAAAGTTTCAGCCTTCATGAATGTATTGTTCGGCGATGTAAAGTGTCACGGCACCCTTCATGAATGTAGTGTTATGTGATGTAAAGTTTCACACCACCCTTCATGAATGTATTGTTTTGTGATGTACAAGCTCACACCACCCGTCATGTGATGTAAAGTCTCCCACCACCCTTTATGAATGTGTTGCTATGTAATGTAAAGTCTCATTGAGTAAAAGTCATCCGTAACTCGGAAGATTGCTTTCCAACTTCCTTTGATAAAGCTACTATACTGTAACAATATTCAAGATCATCATCATGGCCAAAGCAAGGAGAAGAGGCTTCGGACTGAGCAAGCTTTGTTCCAATTGGAGCACGAGTTAGAGGAGGATCGACTCCCAGAGCCATGTCAGGCGAGGACCTGTGGAGAAAAGTGGGGTTTCAAGCGTGAAAAATTGGGATATTGAATGATATTACCGACCAACAACAATTAGGCAACCAAATGCCTTGAATGAATTTAAGGAAAGAACTCTGATTGGCTTGACACATGGTTGCGTTCGTATATGACCACCACGAACCAGCCACATGGTGTGCAGGTTGGCCGTGCTTTGTCACTTCGCCGTCGTTCCAGCTGTTTGCATCACAGCGTTTCGAGCCCTGTGCTGATGGAAACCTAGTCCCTGCGCTTGTCAGCCTAAGGCTGTCCCGTCTAGGGGATGGGTCCATATGGGTCCTGAAGGATCCTCTTGACCTTCACTGATAGCGACCTTCAAGGCTTTCCATCCAGTTCCGCGCCTACTTTTCGTGCCAATTTGGTGACTATTTGGCCTCTAAACTATTCACATTTTTGTTCTTGTTTGTAGACTTGATGGAAGTTGAGCAGTGCCCAACATGTCCAACACCCTGTTGGATTTTGATCATTGGGTCTTATGTTCCCCAAATTTCATCAACATTTCCCCCACAGTTTGAGGATATGAGGATTATCAGATTGTCAATGCAATATATATATATATATATATATTGTCCTTTTTTGTTTTATTATCATTTATTCATATCTATTTTGTTTTTATCATATTTTATTATATAAATATATTATATTATAGTTTTGTTCACTTGTAAACCATGTTTCAGTGCATTTGTCACCAGGGCACTCAATTTTTGTTGGTGACCCGACGCCCCCCTGGGGTCCGTCCGGAGCTTCCCACCGCGGATCGGTGGCTGCAGGGTGCTCCATTAACATGCCATGGTTTCATTCACTACGTGCCATGCCAAGGAATGCCAAGGAATAAAACTGGATTACTGTATGAACGAAACATGGAACAAATACTATGAAATTTGACAAGTTGATTAGTATTTATTGTCTATATAATTATCATTAAATAAATATATATATACACCATTTTTTTATGTTTAAATGTAACTCTGTTGATGTTTTTTCCCCGCAATTTTCCCCAGCCACCTCCCTTCACCTGGCCGGCAGCGGGCCTTTGAAAGCGCCGCTGTCTCTGCCGCTGTCCCAACGCACGCGGAACGGCAGGGAAGAACCCAGTGAACTCGGATCATCCTGGCTGAGATGTACTATTGCTACTATGCACATAAGAAAAACATACCAAGAAACGAACATCTGCATCGTTGTACTGTATATATAATAAAAAGATATAATGTATATAATTTATGTATATGTATATATATATGTGTACTGCACACAGCCTACCGGAGATGGGAGATGTACCTTACTCGCCTTTGGCTCTTTTGAACTCGCTGAAGGCGATGGATCAACAAGCAATGTCTAGTATATCATAGTTTATATATATACACATGTATGTGAACATTATGTGTTTTTGTGTTGTACATGTCACACATGGTATATTTTTATGATTTGTTTTTACTAGTTATTTAAACTTGAGGCAATGGTATACTGCATGTATTTGTTTAGCTATCTATCTAATCTAATCTATCTACCGACGATATCTAATACCTATATATATATAATAATAATTACATATATATATATATAGGTGCATATGAATGTACATGTACACATGCATAGATTCCTTATACATTTGTATAATGAAATTGTAAATTCTTGAAATGGGACAACCTTGTTTTTGTTTTGCAGGAAGCTCTGGACCAGGGATATGACTGAACCAGTTCCTTACCAGGATGATCTAAAGTGATTTTTCACGGGGCAGCCACGGGGCGAGGATTTTCGGAGCAAACACTGGCAGCACGTGGGGCACTGGGAGCCATACGGGGCTGAAGTGGAATAATGGAAGTCAATCGGTGCCCACCTACAAAAAGGTAACCCCCTAAATGGATGTTTGACAAGTCCCTGGTACCTAGTAGGGGTTCATGGGGGCTACCAACCCCCACTGAATAGGGCTCTATTTGTTTGGGGGGGCCTCCCGGCGGATGCTTTTCGATTTCCATCAAGACAGGAAGGCCTCAGGAAGGCGTCGCAAAATGGTCTACTTGAGTAAAGGCGAGTAGGGAAACCCATAGGTTTGAGGATATCCCCGGATACAACTGCATGCATTCATTGTTATACCGTTATACCGCCTGCGGGTCGCCAACCACAATTTAGATTATTTACACACTATGTTTGGATTGTGGAGCCAAAACTTTCCAGCATCTATATGACTGTGTGTGAGAACGTTGTTTGAGTGCCTGTATAGTATTTTATATACACACATACGAGTATATACATACATATATTTACACTATACAGATTTCTCATCATCATCATCATCATCATCATCATATATATATATATATACATTGACCAATCCCACGGGTTTCTTATCACCATGTCCATCGGAAACATTATGATTATATATGTGTTTTCATTTTTTGGGTTGCCCCATTTTTAGACAAACCCATTTAGAATTTGCTCTTCACTTTCCCCTTCATTTCCAAGGTGTGAATCCTCTAGAGTGTTGGCGAGCATTACGGCGCACGAGGGTTGGGGCTGTTTGCATTGTTGCTCAAGCAGATCAACCAAAGGAAATCCGGAATCTGTGTTAAGAGATGTCAAACACTGCGTATATACATTTATTTACATTTATATACATTTAGTATACATATATTATCTTTATATACACATATGTGCAATTACACCGATTAGTTTCAATTCCTGTCAAGATTGCTGCAATGTGAAAAAGCCAGAAAAAAGCAACAACACATCATGCGTGGATGCCACGGCCAGGCGCAGATCGAAGGCTCAATGGAATTCATCTTGGCAGCACTGAGTCCCAGCGTGGGGAAGAATCATTCTGGTTGATAGGGTAAGAAAAATATGGACAGAATTGGTGATATATTTTTGAGTTAACTTGGTGTACCCCTTTCATTTGGATTTTGAGTTAATATCCTGGGAATATAACTAGGGATAGTTTTGCATATAATGACTAGTGAGGAACCTGAAAACTAACTTGGAACCTGAATGGGCAATTCGTTGGAGGAAGTGAAAAGCAGAAAAAAACAACAAGTAAAAAAGTTGTTTGACACATATACACTATGTAAAGACATTCCTCAAGTGTAGTGTCATGAACCGCCATTGTCTCACATCAATGGAACATGTTGTACATTTTGGCTCAAGCAAAACCGTGCGGCGCCTTTGCAGTTGCTGCCGCCAAGTGGTTTTACCATTGAATAACTGGTTATCAGCCGTAATTCGCTGTGTGCGGGTGCGGCCGTGGTCCTTACATATTTACGGTTACTAGCATTTGCTTTGGGTTTGAGCCACCCATTCTTGTGTTGGAAACCTAAACTTCCTTTCTGTGATTTTCAAACTGCTTAGCTAAGTGGCAGTGATTGCAACCAGCGACCTGCTACATCGTTAAGTCCACACCTTTGGGTGATTTTCCAACCGCCTGATCGGATTGCACAGGTTGGATCTCACCTGAAGTATTGCTTCGCCTTGGCCACCGAACCTTGGCGTTGAAGCAGCGAGTTCGCGTCCGGCGACCGTTGCGGAGTGTAGCAACACATAGACTGGGAATTGCTAGTAGCTTGGTATAAACCTCGCTCGTAGTCTTCCGGTTACACTTACAATTCCATATCGGTAAGCATCATTCGACTGTGGCGCTCGCTCCTGCGACCCACCCGTCAAGCAAAGACCAACTTCCATACTTAGCTTTGGTAGGGTAGTGCTCTTGTTGAACAACCTACTATACTGTTGAGACAACCCGCTAAATCCCGCCAACCCGCTTTCTCGAACTGCCTCGGATCAAGCTCTTTCAGCCCCAGCCTTTGCGAGTCCGATTGTCGCCGCTCTTACTTCCATAGTGAATGGTAAGAAGAGGAAAAACGGGACTTCGTGAGTACCGTCGTTCCCTTCTTCACCCTTTTGTGGTCCGAGGAAGGGAGCTCAAGGCAAGGAGCAATCTCCAACCCGGCGAGGCAGAGGAGTTCCACAGCTTGCATAGATTGTTCACTGACGCAAGTGCATTGGGATCGAGGATCTGGGACTTCACGACCAGCCGAACCCTAGCAGAACATTTGCACGTCAGCGGGCGGATCATTGATTCTGTTTGTGGGACGTCTGCGAGTCCCCGGAGTCCAGATCACTCCCCAGTTCAGGAGGAAGAAGAGTTTCCATCCTGGACTCAGCCTGTGACACCCGAAGCCAGTGTTCATTCGGTGTGCTCGTCTCCCGATCGTTCGAGGTCACCGGTGAGGACAGTCTTGAATCCTTCGGAGACAGTTCGAACTGCAACAATTGCACCGGACGTCAGAGATCTTCGTGTTGCTGTCCTGTTGGACCACCACGGTGTCTTGGACAAGAGCTTCCGAACTTCAACAGAGCTGATCCGGCGCTTGCGTGACGAGTTTGGCTATAAGGTGTATATTTGTTGCTTGTCGTACGCTCCTAGTGATCACAGGATTGCAGAGGTCACCAGCCATTCCCGACGGCTTGGCATTGACTCCGAGTGCACTCGGATCAAGTTCGGCAACCGAGGCAAAAAGGGTTGGGCTCGGTGGATTCTTGAACGAGAAGGCATTTCCTGCGCATTCTTTGTGGACGATCAGCAGGCACTAGTGGACGAAGTCAAGTCGTTGGGACCACACATTGAGGCTTGCGTGTTGCCTCAGTGGGATTCCATCTTGACGGTTCACTCTCGGATCAGGCAATTTGTGTCTGGCTCCTTGGATTGGCTGCGGTTCAAGCAAACAAATCCTGAGCGTTGACAGCGGGTGTGGGTAGTGCTTTACACATATACCAAGGAACCTTAGCGGGTGAATCGTGTTTTGTGTTCTCCTCATTAATTGGGTTGACTGAACCAACAGGATTCATTGCAATTTGCCCCACGCACATTTCAGGGGCATTTTCCAACATTTTGTGTTGTGTTCTCCTGCGAGGGATTTGGCATAACCCCCCGTTTTTTCAGTTGACAGAACCTTCACATCTCCTGTGCTCGCATCCTGCGACCGGGATTGCACAACAAAAAGGGCTCCAATTTTGGGGCGAGATTTGGGACGAAAACCAGATCAAATTTTCAATGTCGACTGGGTTTTCTCCACCTGAATCAAGTTCACTTTCCATATCATCTAGTTCACAGATGGTTTCCTCCACAGAACAGCCGATGGGGGAACGAGCTGCTGCCATGACAACTGTGGTTGAACACCAAGGGAATGCCAGCAGAAGTCATTCCCGACAACCATCCAGGGAATCAAGCAG